ATCTTTTAAAGATTAGTTATGTTACATTGTTTACATTTTCACCTTCCTAACTTTTTTCTCCCAGCTGTCGTGCCAATGAGTAAATTTTTCGAAAGCAAAACAGTTTGAAACACTTTCTGTACCTCTTTCAAAATAAAAGGTGAGCCTGACAGTTCACCTTCTGTTCAGCACCTACTGGAAAGCAGAGAGCAGGGTGAAATATAAAGCCTATCCTGATCATTTTGCCAAAAATTGAGAAAAAAAACACCATATATAACTTGTTTATAGATAAAAACATATTTTTTATTGCATTAACTATCTAATAATAATGATAACAATAACAGAGTTCTCTGATGGCCTCTGCTTGGCCCTTCTGCCCTCACTAAACTGCAGCTCCAGCTGTTTCCAGCTCCACAGGAGACCATATTTTGTTCTTGTCCGGAGCTCCTGGATGAAAGGAATGGCAGAACCTTTTTTTATCTCATTGGAGCATTCAGGTTGTAGATTGGATGCTGCTTGGTGAAGTCTCTCTAAACTTTTACATTTTGTTAACAAAAAGGGAAAATTGCTGACAGAGAGAGAAAAAGGGATTGAGGTGTTGTTGTTAGATTTATGAGAAATAAAGAATAATCCATAGAATAAAGTGGGAGCAGGTATACAGGGGAGGATACATAAGCAGGCAGGTGCCTTGAGAGGGAAAAAGACGGAAACCCTCAAACAGCCCAACACAGACTGCGTTCTGTGGATACAGAAGAAACCTGAATAAGACAGGTTTTACTTTTGATTTTAGAGAATCAATATCCCTGATAATTTAACGGCCTCAAATGTGCAATCTATCTTTACTGATTGGAAATGATATGGCTGCATTTCTTGCTTTTGTTTTTAAACTGTCAATAAATCTCATGAAAGAACTATAACCAACAAAGTGTTTGCCCCCAGTACAGTTCACATTTGATAGTACCAATACCCAGCAGTAACTTTTTAATTTTTTTAGTTTCTCTGTCAGTGTAACACAGCGTTTTTTTTATCTTCTTATGTTGTTGTTTCCATCACGACTGTGTTTGCTGGTCTGTAAACTGTAATATTTCCTCTTGGAAAAAAAAGAATTTCAGATGTAGCCAGTGGCTGAGAGTTGACTGATGCTAGTAAAACTGCTAATATCGATCACGACCGTGAAATAAGCCCAGTTACAACAACTTCAACCCGCTAGTTACATTATCGCCATAGGTGTGGACTCACATTAATTTAGCTTTCTCTTTCTACACTCTCTTTCCCAGAAGTGATCTTAGCTACCAAAATGTGGACCCATTTCATTTAACATCTATCGGAACCCTTAAAAGTACAGACGCAGGAACAACTGTTCCAAAGAAAGGCTAGGAACTAAGGCCAAGCCTTTCTTTGGAACAGTTGTTCCTGCTAAAGATGTCAATCTTTAAATGTGAGTGACAAGGCTTTGCTAGAGATTGTTGTCAGCCACAGGTTAATATGGAATTGGTTGGCACCTTTAGCCACCAGGTCATGCATGTGGGATTGAGTCGAAATAAACTACAGTGTGTGTTTCTTCTTATTGATTTAATAGTTTTTAAATGGCAGTAGCACTCCGTGTTAAGATTTATATATAATAAGATGTATGAGATACACAAAAGAAATGATAAGATAAAGGCATCAACAGACTTGTACTTTAAATCAAGCAATCCTTGTTTGTTGTGTATTTGAATCATTCATTCGATGTCAGTGTAGAATACAGAGGGTGGAGACAAAAAAGGTCACAAATATTTTGTCTATAAGCTGCAGATCATTCAAATTTTTATTGGTTGCTTGTAATTTTGGGATTTGGAAGTTTAAGCTCATTCCACTGCGTAGCTTTAGATAAGCAGCTAAATCCCCATGATGTTATATTGGCTGAATATACGAAACACTCACCAGCAGGTTGAAGGATTTCGAATAATGACAGGCCAAGCTCCAAATAGAAATGAAGGCTGATATTAACCATGGATGCTGCTTGTCTCTTGGCTCCACTTTGACCCAGAAGCTGAGCCGCCCTGCCTCTAATAGGAGGCATAACCAGCACCTATTTAAAGCTCCCACCATACTGTAATTACAATCAAACATCCTCTGTTCACATGTCAGCTCTCATTCCCCTCAAACCCGCCTCTTTATTAGAGACACGGAGAGTGGGTTGTGATTTCACTGTTTACTGCCAAACAGCCTGTAATGCAACAGAGAGCAGAGGAGACACAACACTGATGAATAGTCTGTGTGGGATTGTGCGTGTGCACATGTTTGTCTCCACCCCTCCACCTAAACTGTGAAAATGTAATCACAGAGCGGTGAAGCAGTGCTACGAGCTGACATCCTCGAAAACATTCCTGTCTGTGCTCAGTGGGTGCAAACTCTGACAATCTATATTGACTCACTTGTGTTTGTCTTTGTGAAAGAGCATAATAAATGTTACTCATATCATTAATTAAGAAGCTAATATTCATATTGTGGCTGAGCATCGTTGGGACTAAATGTCTGAACGGAAAAACCGAACAATAGTTTCAAGTTCACTTGATGCCTTAAAAATGTGAGGTTGAAGGTATAAATGAATTGAGTTCAGTGTTACTTTGTGAGCTTTGAAAATGCAA